TGGTGCGGACATGTTCCGATACTCGTCTGACTTCGGTCGAAGCTGGAACGACTGGATGACGTATTCAGGTGGCAACACGACTGTTACCATCCCGGCGTGGACTGACACGGACGCCCGAAAGTGGGAGGGCACTCATATCCGAGTTCAGTACTTTTCAAGGCTCACTGGAAGCAGCGATTACATCCAGGAAGGTGACTATGCGAGCGATACAGTTCGAAGATTCCCGCACCTGTGGTTTAACGGCCCATACAACCAATACGGCTATGATGCTGGAATAGACAGCAAGATGAAGTTCGATTCCAAAAGTTCTCGTTGGAACTACGACTTCGTCTACGAATGGCCAGCTGTGGGCCAGCTGAATGTTTGGGGCGCGGACAGGGAGGGCGACCCTGATACTACCGAGGTTTACGGTGATGTCGGCAACTCGTCTTCGGTTCAAAAGCTTCCTCCGTCCTATCTCTCATCAAATGTCATCAACATTACCAGTCCGCCGCCATTCCCGCATCTTGGCTGGACCATCTCCCTCAACGATGGCAACCTAAGATACCAAATGATCCCCGTCGGATCTGGATGGGCGCAGTTGGTCCTCTTCATTCTTCTCTGGGTTATTCCGATTATTATGGGTTGTGCTGGTGTCTTCATCTTCATCTCGAATTTCTACCGTGTTAAACTCAACATGAATGGCAATGTCACCAAGGCCGACAGGTCCCCGGTACTACTTTGGCGCAGACTCAAAGGGACGTTTATCAAAGAAGATGTTGAGGAGATCAGTATGGCAGAAAAGTCTGTCCCTACAAACATGGCTCTGGCAGGAGCGAGCGACCAGCGACGCACTGTATTGATTGCCACTATGGAGTACGACATTCAAGACTGGAAGGTCAAAGTCAAGATTGGTGGTCTAGGGGTAATGGCGCAGCTCATGTCACAGAATCTCAAGCACCAGAATCTCATCTGGGTGGTGCCGTGTGTCGGTGATATTGATTACCCCGAGGATACGCCTGCTGAACCTTTCGTGGTGACGATCCTGGATCATCCCTACTCAGTCCAGGTGCAGTATCACGTGGTGGATAACATCACCTATGTCCTCCTTGATGCTCCGGTTTTTCGGCAGCAGACAAAGGCGGAGCCTTATCCTCCACGTATGGATGATCTTGACAGTGCAATTTACTATTCGGCCTGGAATCAGTGTATCGCGGAGGTAATGAAGCGAAAGCCCTCCATTGATCTCTACCACATCAACGATTTCCATGGCTGCGTGGCTCCACTTTACCTACTTCCATCGCGAACTATCCCGGTTTGTCTGTCATTGCACAATGCCGAGTTCCAAGGTCTATGGGCTCTCAGAACTTCGCAGGAGAAGAAAGAAGTCTGTTCTGTCTTCAATCTCCCAGTTGACATAGCGACCAAGTATTCTCAGTTTGGTAACGTTTTCAATCTACTTCATACTGGAGCCAGCTATTTGCGATTCCATCAACGCGGCTTCGGCGCGGTAGGTGTCTCCGAGAAGTATGGAAAGCGCTCATGGGCACGTTATCCAATCTTTTGGAGCCTTGGCAAAATTGGCAGTCTTCCCAATCCAGATCCCTCCGACACCGGCGCCTTGAAGAGAGACCCGGACGTGCAAGTTTCCATTCAGTCTACTGACGAGCTGGCCAATGACAAGATCCAGGCACAGAAATGGGCTGGTTTGAACGAGGACCCCAACGCTGACTTGCTGGTGTTTGTTGGAAGATGGTCGAAGCAGAAGGGAGTCGACTTGATTGCGGATGTTATGCCGGCTGTCTTGTCTGCTAGACCTAATGTTCAGCTGATTTGCATTGGTCCCATCATTGACCTCTATGGTAAGCTGGCTGCTATCAAACTGCAGCGCATCATGGAAATGTTTCCAGGGCGTGTCTTCTCGAAGCCTGAGTTTACGATTCTTCCCCCCTTCGTGTTCTCTGGTGCCGACTTCGCCCTGATCCCATCTCGTGACGAGCCCTTCGGCTTGATTGCCGTTGAGTTTGGTCGTAAGGGTGCACTTGGAATTGGTTCTCGCATCGGAGGTCTAGGCCAGATGCCTGGTTGGTGGTACACTGTGGAATCTGACTCAGCCCGCCATCTCTTGCACCAGTTGAGAACTGCCATAAAGTCCGCCTTGGAATCGTCACAAGAGACCCGAGAGGAGATGCGTGCAAACTCTGCCAAGCAGCGATTCCCCGTTCTCGAGTGGGTTCAGAAGCTCGAAGTCTTACAACGGACATCTATCCACATCCATCACCAAAAGAATCAACTCACCGTCGCAGGCTCAGCGCGAGAGTCTCAGATCTACTGGGAGACGCCAGGCTTGCGGGACTCCGCAATGACGACCCGCCCTTCGTCAGCAACGGGGGGTTTGGATACGCCACCAGGCAGAACATCGCAGCCCTTCCAGCCTTCCCTTCTACAGCTACGGGCAGTCGAAGCTCAAGAAATGCAAGTAGCCGAAAGCAACAGAGGTAGCATGTTAGGTCGCAACCTGTCTCTCGGTCGACGATCTGGCCCGGGACATGGCAGAAAGCGTCTCGTCAAGAAGTCACTGCGCGAGAGTCAGATGCTCGAGCCCGTCGACGGCGATACCACGGACGCCGACGATGAGGGCACCGCCACTCCACAGGAGAACTTTATTACTCAAGAAGAGGCTATGGCAGCAGTCAATTTCCCTCTCCAGGATCTCGGCGCACATCCTAGAGACAGCAACCACTCGCGAGGCGTGTCTAGCTCGTCGGCCTCAGAGTCATCGCGTTTCATCTCAAGGGACTCTTCTCCAGTGAGGGCACCTGGTGGTCTTTCCGATCCAGCTGCACCATTCGCTCAGTCCCGAAATATTTCTGTCCTCTCATTGCCTTCTGTTGTTAATGACCATGATCAACCCGATTTCCATCTGCAGAAGGTCGACCCGACCTTTACAGACAGTATGGGCCACTTCACCCGGCACTTCGAACAGCTTCTCACCAACCTCAACAAGAAAAACTCAATTTCCGATTATTGTATTGAGCTTTATCTTATGAAGAGCGAGCGGAAGTTCTTTTACATGTACAACGATGCGCAGTTGAAGAAGCAGCCCAAAGAACGTCCCGCCACCGGAGCTGGCTTGGACCATGCGGTCGAGAACACACCGTATAACCTCGTTACAGACGGTCCTGAAGAGTCGGATTCGAACAACACAGATGAAATTGATCTCTGGCTCTCTCGTCTGGGATACAAGAGACCCATTGCCATCCAGCGCTTTATGAGATGGCGCGTCGGTAACTGGCCTGTTTATGCTCTATTCTTGGGTCTCGGGCAGATCATCGCAACCAACTCTGCGCAGATCACCCTGCTGGCTGGCCAGATTGGTGAGACAGCAGTCAAGCTCTACGTTATCGCAGCAATCTACTGCGTGTCTTCCATCGCCTGGTGGTTCCTCTTCTACCGCTTCCCTTCTGTGATAGTCCTCACTCTCCCCTGGTTCATATATTCCATGGCATTCATCACCATCGGCGTTTCTCCGTTCGCACTCTCAGAACTCGGTCAGGCGTGGGCTCAGAATGTCGCCGCAGGAATCTATGCCGTAGCATCTTCCAGTGGTTCCTTATTCTTTGCTCTCAACTTTGGTGACCAAGGTGCAGTCCCTGTGAAGGATTGGATGTTCCGCGCAAGTCTTATCCAGGGAATCTCACAGCTCTATACTGTCGCCCTGTGGTACTGGAGTTCCAGGGTCACTGCCGCGGAAGTTGGAGGTGTTTCCACAGTTGCCTTGAATTCCTGGAAACTCACGGCTGTGGTGATGCCCATTGCCGCAGTTTGTTTCATTATCGGAGTTCTCCTTGCCCTCGGCTTGCCTAAGTACTATCGCCAGGCACCCGGAAAGATCCTCTTCTTCTACACATCCCTCTTCCGTCGCCGAATCGTCCTGTGGTTCTTCTTCATGGTCATCATCCAGAACTGGTTCCTTTCTGCGGCGTTCGGTCGAAACTGGTCATTCCTCTGGTCCTCTCAACACACCAAACCATGGGAAGTTGCTCTCCTGGTCATCTTCTTCTTTATTGTCCTCTGGGTCGCTGTGATGCTACTCTTCCGCTTCTTGTCTAAGGAGCACAGTTGGATCTTACCCGTCTTCGGCCTGAGTCTTGGTGCACCACGATGGGCACAAACATGGTGGGGAACATCCAATATCGGCTACTATCTTCCCTGGGCTGGAGGTTTGACTTCTGGGGCAATCGCATCCAGGTGTCTCTGGCTCTGGCTCGGCGTTCTCGATGAGATTCAATCAGTCGGTTTGGGAATGATTCTCCTACAGACTTTGACAAGAGTACACGTCGTTTTCGTTCTGTTGGCTGCACAGTCTATTGGATCTATCGCCACAATTTGTGCTCGTGGATTCGCGCCAAACAAGGTCGGCCCAGGAGATATCTCCCCAGCTGTTGGGTCGTCGCTGGACGCAGTTGCAAATGCGTGGTTCTGGATCGCCCTTTTCTTCCAGCTTCTGGCTAGGTCGGTTATCATCCCCATCCTCTCTTATCTTATGGCGTTGTACTAACTGTGATTGTAGCTTTGGTTTCCTTCTCTTCTACCGCCGTGAACAGCTCAATCGGCCCTAGATCAATCATCATGCATGTTTTGACTTAATAATTCAGTAAATTTGGGCGCTGGTATAGATGGAAAGGAGTCGGAGTTGATTTTTGTCTTGTTAATAAAGCACTATTTATACTCTAGTATATACATGGACTATTGGATACGAAAGACTTGCGAATGAACCATCTTTATAGTAGACAAGAATACTCCGTTTATGCATCCTTCTCATGTCTTCTAAGATTTCGAATTCTACTTTATTCGTTCGTTCTCGTCGCGACAATCTCAACTAATCGAGAGTGAAGTCTTATTTCACGAGGAAAGGCGAATACCCGAAAACACAAGTACGAGAGTACTTGCAAGATGTGGAATAGAGCCGAAGGAGACAAAGATGAAAGAGAATGAGAGAGAAAGAGATGCCGCAGGTGTTAGAGTTTATACACAGCAAGATTAGCTGGATGAATCACGTCCCGATCACCAATTAACAGCTCTGCTCCCTCAATCTTAGGCGGCTCTACCGACTCCAATCCATAGTTGAATACCCAGATCAGGTTCCCCCGTTTTGCCAATCGTATCGTAGGGCCAAGATCGCCATCTTTGCTCGCCAGCTTTCCCGTAAGCGCCTTGATATTTGCGTCCGCGGCCACGTCGCCAAGATATGAAACTAGAAAATCTGCAGGGGGGTTGAATGCTAGATAATGAGTTCCATCCTTTGAGCATGCGGCAGGTTGACCCTTGCGAAACGCAGAAGAATACGAGACTGTGGCTTTGCTCGTGTTGCTTTCTCTCTCGCAGCTGATCCACTCCTCCCAGCTCGAGATTTCGAAAGTTGAGCCGGCATAGGACACATTGCTTCCAGCACAGCTAGGTGTCGTTTCGATTCGGGTGACGCGCATAGGAAGGCGCTCACGTAGCGTCCCATTGGAAGGATTCAGGCCTACGGCGTAAGAGAAGTCCTCTGAAGTGGACCCGGAATTTGGTCCGAAAACAACTGGCCCAGAGTACTTGGCGAGCGCGGAGTCGAAAGCATCAGGGATAATTGGAAGGCTGGGGACGACTACCATCTTGTAGCCGTCGATCGGTTGATCGGCACCAATGATGTCAACCGAGAGCCCGAGGCGGCGGATGGCCACGTAGAAACTGTAGGCAATGTCTTTGTAGCTTAGCACCGCACCGGAGTACTGGGATTGCTTGTTGTCCCACCCGCCACTGTGTGGTTCGATTCCCCATACCCAGTCGGCAGTATAGTCGAAGATCAGAGCTACGTCTGCTTGACCTTGCCCGATGGCCCCCTCCGCTTCTCGGAGCTTTTCTAGATCTTGGCTGGCAACGACTTGAACTTCCGAGTAACCTTGGTCGGGAGAGTTGTCGGACACAAACAAAGCCGAGAGCGTCTGCTCCTGTGCGTAGGGGACCTGCCGCCATCTGAAATACGACACAAAGTCACCGGACTCGGCAAACACCTCGTGCGTCCAGAGTCTCACCATGCCCTCGAGTGGAGACACACGGTACTGGCCCCAGTTCACCAGTCCAGGTTGGGACTCCATAACTCCAAAGGGGCCTGAACGTCTCTTATAAGCCGCTCCTGCAATACCACGATATAGTGCGTGGTTCATGGCTTGAAGATCCGGAAGGCCAGTCCGCAAGTAATCGGCTTGCTCCTGCTGGGTCACCGAAGAAAACGAGGTGAGTCCGGAAAGCGGGTAGTTGTCCCATGTCGCAAAGTCGAGTCCTACTTCGCGAGAGAACTTGTGGTGGTCGAACTCAGTAAACATGTTCATGAAGTTGGTCGTGATAGCTTGGTTTGGGGCGTATTTTCTCAGAATTGACGCTTGCTCTTTGGCAAAGTCGATAACCATGTCCGAACTAAATCGATACCAGTCAAGCTTATGAGCCTGGTTGTTGATGTAGACCTCTAAAAAGGGAGGCTGGACCGCTTCAAAACTGGTGTACTGAGAAGACCAGAAGACACGGCCTTGTCTCTGATTGAGGTTCTCGATAGTATCGTACTTTTCCTCGAGCCATTGCCTAAACCGCTTCTTTGCGTTTTGGTCGAAGCTTCTAGCGCCTCCAAATTCATTGTCCAATTGCCAGCCAGCAACGATCGAGTTATTTCCATATCGTTTAGCCAACGCTTCCGTGATGCTTTGACTGAGCTGTCGGTAGTCAAAAGAGGAGAAGCTGTAGTGTCGCCGAGAGCCAAAGTGCAGGGTATCGTTGTTGACGTCAACGGGATAAATGTCGTACTTTTCACAAATCCAGTCCGGCGGCGCGGCAGTCGGCGTTCCAATAATTGCCTTCAAGTTGTGACGACCGAGGAGTTCGATAGTCTGGTCAAGAATCGTGAAGTTGTAATGTCCTTCTTCGGGCTCCAGTAAAGTCCAGTCGAACTCGCTGACACGAACGTAAGTGAGGTTTGTGTCTCTCATGCGGGCTACATCCGGTTCCCACATTTCCTCTGGCCAATGTGAAGGATAATAGTCTACGCCCAAATGGAAGCCGCTGGGCCAGCGTTCCTCTGATGGGCTTGAAAGGCTTCCTTCGGCTCTGACCTCCATGAGATCCGCCGAGAGGCTGGCCAAAATGGCGAGACAGGAGATGATACGAGCCATGTTGACAGACGATTATCCTGGCAGATAATGACACCAAATTCGATAACCCTCGAACAACATCACGGCATATCGTGAAATTTGGAAACTTAAGTGCGTACAACCTGGCTTTGCGGGTAAATGCCAACTCCGAGATCTCCGGTGAAGAAAGGGAATAGGCTAATAAGATAGGACAATGGACACCGAACAAACAATTTTCCGTACCATATTATAGGCTATAATCAAATTCGAGGACCAAAATATGTAGATATCATACGGGTCTCGAGTCTTGTTGCGGGACGGGTCTTAACCGTGATGTTACTATGCATTCCAATTATCCTCTCGCTATTTGTCTGCAAGCCCCGCCACCGGCGGCCTTGGTGCGGAGTTATAGCAATGACTGTGATTAGTGGCGTCACCAGATTTGAAATAGCGCCCCGGCCGCTCTGCTTAGGCGATGCTACCCAAAGCTTAGGTACGTGCAACGGCCTCGACCAAAGCAGGCGGAGAGTAGCTCCAGGGCATAAGAAGCGTGGGCAGCGGGAACTTCTGCTTGCTATTTTGTACAGCAGCGACGAGTACGTTACGGGTCAAAGGGATAAGCTCAAGAGTGGCCAGTACCAGATCCAAGGCTAGGCAGGGGCAACATCCGCGACATATCCATATCCGATACAGATAGTAGGTGGTATTCGTAGTGCAGATTTAGATATTTCGTGGATAGGCAAACAATACAAATATAGCTAAGACCGTGACTGGGAATATGTACAGGATTTGTCTGTAGTTTATCGTTCTAAGACTATATAAGACTTACACACGACGTAGACTGTAGAAGAATAAGAGATTCTACTCGGTATACTTCTATTAAGTTATACCCAGGGCGCACTTTCAAGAGAATGACTCGTATCCAAAAGCCTTTTCCGAGTTTCGGTTAAAATTAGAGACATGGAACAATCGACTTCACGGTTTGTTGCGCTTCACGAGCCTAGATTACGGCTGAACCACAAGGTTAACGCGCCCGCACTCTTCTTAGGCCAATACCGGAGAACTTTGCCCTTCTCGTCTCTTTCGATGTATGTGACACCGAACCGCGTACTGAAGCCATCGGCCCACTCCCAGTTGTCTGTTAACGACCATGCAAAGTAGGATCTAACATCAACACCATCTTCAACTACCGCCTCCCTCATGGCATCCAGATACCCAAGATGATACGCAATCCGATGTTGGTCATTGAGCACCTGAGGAAGTTTTTGTTGGGCTTCGGTAGAACAGGGAACTCCGTTCTCGGTGATGTAGATAGGAGTCTGATAGCGTTTCCATACCCAATTCAGGATACGGCGTAGGCCCCACGGCACTTTATAACCTTGTTAGTTACTGGTATATAAAAATGGGCCGGATTGATCACTTGCCGACTTCAACCCACGACACGCCGTGACTTGGCCCCAAGTGCTTCCCATCAATACCAACAAAGGTCTGTGTAACGTTCCCCATGTAATCGAGGCCAGAGGGGGAGTTAGGGTCTTGCCGAATATAGTTAGTGGTATAACTATTGTGGAATGGAATGAGTGACCGCATGATACACATGATGCTCATGATGACTGAGATGAAAGTACACCGCTAAACTCACTGGTTAAGGCCAAAGAAGTCCGAGCTTCCTTTCACGAGAGCCATCTCCTGCTCTGTAAAGCGCGGTAGGCGGTCTCCTAGCTGGTCTTTGCATGACTGTGGATAATCGCCATGGCCAAAAATTGGATCTGTACCAACTGCGATAAAGAACTCGAGCTTTCTCTCTGCAGCCGCCAGGTCCTCATTCGACGACGAATACGGTTCTGCCCAGTCGGCATTGAAAGTTATACCAATCTGACCGCCCATACAAAGGCCGCGGAAGATCTTGGCAGCATGGGCGTGCGCAAGGATTTGCGTGTGGATGACTCTCCATGGTTCCGTTGCGGTGTCTCCGATTTCGGATACGGATCGGTCTGAGGTGCGTCCGGGGGCGAATGCACCTGTTCCATGGCCCTATTGATCAGCACCGGTGAGAGTCTGAAGTAATATATCGATAAAATTCTGCATACCAATTGTGCTACCACGACAGGCTCGTTGAAAGTGATCCAGTCCTTGACTCGATCTCCAAATGATTGAAAGCAGAGCTCTGCATATCGAGCGAAGTCCTTCACAAACTCTTCGGTGTTTAGAAGACCTTGATAGCGCTCATACAAGGCAAGCGGCAAGTCCCAGTGGAAAAGAGTTATGAACGGAGTGATTCCATTCTCAAGCAAGGCATCAATGAACGTGGAATACCATTGTATGGCGGCCTCATTTATTGGATCATATCTTCCACCCAAAGGTATTAGGCGACTCCATGACAGGCTGAATCGGTACGAGGTGACGCCTTATAGTCCAGGATATTAGCATTGCAGGCTGTTCCTGTAATCGAATATGTACTCACCATACTCCTTCATCAGCCTGATATCGTCTTCCCATCGTGTGTAGCTCTCGCAGGCAATGTCCGCATTTGTTCCATCGCGAATCTTTCCCGGCGTATGGCTGAATTTATCCCATACCGTCGGACCCCTGCCGTCTGCGCATAAGCTGCCTTCAATCTGAAATGCTGCGGTAGCATAGCCCCTAGTCCATTATTAGCTCTGACCTTCTTGTATACTTTTGGCCACGTGTAGACAATGGATATATGCATCGCATATCTGAAAGTCACTCGACTTACCAATGGAAATCTCGTGGCAGCGACATTTGGTGTAGCTTGCAGCTAGGAAAAAGCGCTTCACCTTGTAATATTGACCGCTTGCACTGGGTCTGGATATCTCAATGCTGACCAGAGTCGATAGGAGCGTAGGAAGAGATAACAACAAATGGATTTGAAACAAAGTAGGTCCAGTGTACAAAGGCCCCCTTCCGCCTTTTAATATCAGATCTAGGGCGGCTTACGCGGGGTAAACGGATCAATGCTATCCGAGCTCTAGCCTTGTGCCGAATCCCATGCAGTCTCAAGGTAGCTCCCTAAGATTTCTGTCGAGCCTACGGGTGGTCCATTACCACCCGCGGAACTAGGGCGTAGAAAGAGCAAGGCATCGAAATTATTAGGCGTTAGCCTAAGAGCCTCTCAATATAGCCTAAAACCTGGACCCTGGAAAGTTTAAATAACGCGTCTAACGAGAATGCTGACATCGACCATGACCTTCGGAATAGTTAATTATGAAGCTGCAGGAGACTGCTAATCACAGGGGATACGTTCCAAGCGCACCAGTTGATATTCCCACGGTTCCTAAATCATCTTAACTGAAAGGAAGGTACTTCTTTTGCTAAGTGCATACAATTTACCACGATGCTCTTGATATATATGACCCGCAAAATACGTGCAGAATACAGGTACGATGTGGGTCCGCGCCAAGACATCGTCAAACTCTCCGCCGGAGACTAAAACTCCACCGGAGGCACACTATGAGTGTGGAGAAAACAAGGCATGTAAGCCATCTGCCTCATTGCTTCATGCACTGATACGTAAGTATAAGACAATATACGCTTTTAGTCCCTGGGGTATAGCCGAACAAATTATCCAGCGGCTAATGTTAGTCTGGGGGCGTTGTTGCCAGGAAAGTCGGCGCGCGACTTGCCTATATAGTCGTCCTATGTGACATCGGTTGATCTTCGCTAACACAGTATCTGAACTACCTCCATTCTACATTCGCTGAGCGGAAATGGATAACACGCAAAGAATATATGCGGCGGAACTGGGAGACAAAGGCAGATGGTGGTGGCAGGACCCCGGGTTGAGAAAGCTGTATCTTCTCATATGTATCGCCGTCTTGTCATCAGCTACCAATGGTTATGATGGGTAAGACGAATTTCTCAGGACTCTCGATGATAGCCTAAAAAGGCTGTCCACGAGGTGGACGTGCGCTAACGGGCTGACCAGCTCCATGATGAATGGCCTTCAAACGTTGACATACTGGCAGGAGTGTTGGTTAACATTCGCCCTCTTAATCTAAGTCTCATAACTGACGAAGTGCAATTAGATTTCAAGCACCCTGTCGGCGGTACCCTTGGCATACTGAACGCCATCCAATCCGTCGGTGGCATTGTTTGTTTGCCCTACGCACCCTACTTGAGCGATTGGATTGGCCGCAAGAAGACTATCTTCGTGGGATGCTGTTACATTGCTCTGGGGGCTGCACTCCAAGGCGGTTCTCAGAACATTGGCATGTTCATCGCTGGCAGATTCTTTAGTAAGAGCTGTCGTTTAACTTTCCCCGGCTCTTAGCAGCTAGCAGGCGCGCATCCTCTGACGAACCATTCTGTAGTTGGGCATGGATCCTGCATCAGCGCTATCGCTACCCCCATGCTTATTACCGAGCTTTGCCATCCCAAGCAGCGTGGAAAGGTCACCGCGGCTTACAACACCTGTTGGTGCGTATATTTGCACCTCTATTTTGTCACACCTTGCATTAACAACGGATAACTATACAGGTAAGTACGTTTGCTGCATGGACTACGTTTGGGACTCTCCAGATTCAGAGCAACTGGAGCTGGAGGTTACCCAGCGTCCTCCAAGTAGCCCCAAGTCTGGTCCAATTATCGTTTATCTGGCTTTTGCCTGAAAGTCCCCGTTTTCTCATGGCCATGGACCGGCCCGATGAGGCCTTGGATGTCATAGCTAACTACCATGGCAACGGTGACCGTAACAGTGAATGGGTTCGATTCCAAGTCGAGGAGATTCAAACTTCGATGGAAATGGAGCAAAGCGGTAACCAGACCACTTGGGTTGACCTCATCAGGACCCGTAAGTTACCTTCCCGATACGAGACTGTAAGCGTCTGGATCTAACTTTTTGCGTCCTCGTATTGTAGCTGGGAATCGCCACCGAATGCTTATCTGCGTGGCATGCGGTCTGTTCTCTCAGCTTAGCGGCAATGGCCTTATAAGCTATTATCTTCAGTAAGTAGGACGATCTTTGTTACCGTTTGGGTTTGTTTTCTCATTGCGACAACAGCTCTATTCTTGACCTCCTTGGTTATACGGACCCTCGCTTCCAGAATAAGATCAACGGAATCTACGCAACTACCAACTGGGTAGAAGCACTGTTCGCCGCATTCATGGTGGATCGAATTGGAAGGCGGCCGCTCTTCCTCACCTCTAACATTTCAATGGTTTTCACTTTTGCACTCTGGATAGCATTCACGGCCCTTAATATCACGAGAAATAGCAGCGAATTCGGTATCGGCGCCATTGTGATGCTATTTCTCCATACATTGGTTTACAACCTGGTCTGGTAAGCGATTCTCTGTGCTGTCTTGGTTATGCCTCTTTAACCCTTTAAAGGGTTTCGTTGAACGTCGCGTATCCGGTCGAGATTCTCCCGTATCATCTTCGCGCGAAAGGCCTCACAGTCTTGAATCTAAGCATATCCTTGGCCTCCTTTTTCGGCCAGTATGTCAATCCAGTTGGTATTCAGAATCTAGCGTGGAAGTACTATATTGTGTACGAAGTCTGGCTCGTGCTTGAGGTAAGTTTTTACTGTGCCTTCTCTCCATTGGTATCTCTTCACTTACACTTCTGCAGGTGATTGTGGTATACTTCTACTTCACCGAAACGCGTGGCGCCACCCTCGAAGAAATGAGCCAGCTTTTCGATGGTAAAGACGCTGCAGAGGCATTGAAACTTGCCGCAGCCGAAAGAAGCGAGAAGGTCATGGCAACCGAAACTGAGATTGCACAGGGGGATACTAAGAACCCAACTACGGCGTAGTCATGGCAGCGCGAATAAGCCCAGGGTTCAAATACCAATTCTCAGTCCCGCGGCACTGGGCCCATCGACGCCTGAAATCCTGAGCTCTGGGCTCGTTGTTGTACACTCCCGTCCCAAGTTTGTCAAAACAGCTATTGGCGGCCTTTCCACACATGCACCCGTATGTATGAACGTACCCGCACATCATGGGGGTGCCTTCCGTTCGTTAGCTTGCTGAGCTTCTGAGCTAAGAATGAAGGCCTCACTCGGATATGACAAAAAGGTATATATATGGTTGGGCAAAAAGGGCGGACTAGATTGGGGACGAAGGGGCAGACTGTCGGTAATTCTGAATCCTAGGACAAACTATTGCAAGGAAGCCTCAATACGACCTTGATTTGAAGCGTGCCAAATAGCGAACAAATACAAGGAAATCGCAAATGGCAAAAGTTATCAGACATTGAGAAGACACTTCACATCTCAAAGAAAAAAGGAAATGGAGAGACGGATCACTTGGAGGAAAACATGCGCATTTCCTGACATGTCATGATCGTAGATAGAGGCCGAGCGCTTCCGTTGCTGTGGCAAATCGTCCTCTCCAACAACCTGATATAATATCACCATGTTTTATAGCCTGCAGTATCTGGGAATTCCTGCCATCTATATCGTTCTTCGATCTCGAATCGACCACCTCATGTTGTCGCTTGATCTGCGCCATTATAGATTCACGATCATCATATTCAGCCACATTTAACTCGCTATATAGAGCTTTGCCAGCGACCAATTCGTAAAGGGTAGATCCTAAGGCAAAAAGATCAGAAAACTCGGTATTTGGAAGTTCATAACCACGTGGTAGGCAGTGTGATGCCCTCCCGCAGCGTAGTCCTGGGTGGCCAGCGCACTGAGAAGAATTAAAATCTCCTAGACGTAGATTAAGGTTATCGTCGACAAAAAACTGCCGTAGCGCCAAGTCCGAGTGAATGACGCTAAAAGAATGGATAACAACGATAGCTTCCAAAATCTGCTGGAACCATTTTGACTGAAGTTCAGAAGAAATAGAACTGCTCTGGCAATAGGTAGCAAGGTCACCGTGTCGATAGAACTTAATATCGACAGTCACTGACTCTCGATATACACTCGGCAATCCGTGGATGAACGCCAATAGTGTCATATATCATAGCTTCGCGAACAATTGGCTGTTTATCTTCTTCACTCTCGCTGTGAGGAATTTTTCGGACCGTTTTTTAATTGAGACGATAGACCGTTACAAATATACCAATCATCAGGATCGGCTGATCGCTGAGGTGTTCTGTATCGGCTCCTTTGGTCATGGTTGTATCCTTGATAGATTTGCAGTTAGATAAGTAAAATTCAGTTGGGAGCGGGTGTTCCTAATGCTTACAAAAAGCTGTTGTTTCTGATCCCCTTGAATGTTTTTCTTGCTTTTCGGCTGGAGATAATATGCAATAGATAGGCCGAACCGCCCAGGTCCCGAATAGTGATATCTTTGAATAGAACAGCCAAATCCATGGCCATATTACGATTGAAGTAGGTTCCGCATGTTGGGGGGTGATGTTAAGGAAAGCAAAAATCAAACAGCGACAGAAATCAAATCCCCCTGGCCGAAGAATGACACACGTGATGTATAAGATGATCGACGAATAAAGTCCATTTCGGAGCTCGTTGATGTTTGTGAATGGCTAAGCGGAAGGTTTTTAACGCGCTTATTGAAATCCGACTTAGTGGTTTGGCGAAGGGAGAAGAGATGAAGGAAAGTTCCGAGCTCCGAGATGTCAAGAGGTGTTGATGCCGAGGCCAACTAGAGCTAACCGAGTTTGCCAAGACTGTCAATTCATAGAATAGGTGGGTGACCAGTGAATTCTCACTGTTGTATGTCTCTCTTTTTGCTTTTTGCTTTTGGTGGCTGGTCGAATATCGTTCCGTGCTGGCCGGGTCAAGAACAAATTCAACCATTCCTATTGAACAGCTGCATAAATCTCCAACGCATCATGCAGCCTTCCAAAGACACCCCCATGCCACTCTCTAACCAACTTCCACTCGTCAGCAGGCAAAGTCTTGCTCGCCATCCTCAGCCAAGCCCCAACAATAAGATCCGCGTAATTAGCTCGTTCCCCAAGTAAGAACGGCCCATTCCCGCCAAAAAGCTTCGCAAGCCCACCCAACATATCCCGGAAGGACCCACTAAGTTTCTCACGCTGTTCACCTGTAATAGCAAAATCCTCCCAACAGCTCACCCCAGCCCGCCGAACAAACTCAGCCTTCGCCTCCTCGGCAGTCGCAGGATCAAACGGTAGCCCTTGGACCATGAGGCCGACGTGCGTGGTGAAAGCAGCATCGACATTCACATTGAAGCGCGCATATTGGGGGTATCCACCATCATCGCACTTAGACAACGGAATTAAAATTGCAGCGTCCGAGCTGAAGACGTAGTCCAGGGATTGGGGCGGGAAAAGATCGTTCCCGGCTGGGTATTGCTTTTGCAGGTAGACGGCTATATCAAAGGAGTCGCCGAGTTTGCGGGATGTTGTGGGATCCACTAGGATAGGGAGAGTGTGAAAATCTGTGCCGTCGGCGAATTTGCGGCACGCTGGGACGCTGAGGCTTTTGCGGACGTTGGATATATCGGGGAGTTGGACCCAATTGGTTGAGTATGGGAGTGATTTGAAATTAAGGGCTAGACGGGTTTTCCAAGGGTTTACGGCGCTATTGCTCTTTTCGGCTGGGGGGCGCATGGCAATGTCGTAGAAGACTAGCTTCTTGTCCATGGTGAGGAATTGATTGGGTCGTGCTCTCTTGAGTCTGCAGGTTCGAGTGTAGATGTCTAGGTGCTATTGATGCAACTCAAGTGTGGGATGGTGCAGGCACGTGACCTCGTCTGTCCAGGTCTGCAAAGTACCTAGATACCTCATCTTTCCTTCCTTTGCTTTTTTCTCTAGTCTCATTGATAGCAAACTTGTGTCTCTCTGTTCCTGCTACAAACCGTTGATAGTAGTTGTGGAGATATGACGTGATGGTCGCCGCTAGCGCGGTCATCAGCTCAGAAATTGATATTTTTGGCCGAACTCACCATACAAACACTGACATTTAAACGAGAAAAAGAAGAATTCCTTATCTATTGATACCACTAATGAGGCGACTACCGAGACGGTCTGTTGATTCCACAAGACAAGAAGTCAAATATAGAGGGAAGACAGCTATTTATTTTTAAAGAGACGAGCTTTCAGAACTACGTAGTTAGCTACAACTATCCACAAAAAGACCCTGCTTGCTTTTCAGAGATTCGGGCGCTGGCGAAGGTAGGACTGTTGAATCCAGTGCTCGTAATAAGCTACGAGCGTTTCGAAATCCTCCGTCGATCCAGCAGCCTTCAATGATTGAGCCAAGCCAAAGATTTTCAGTGCTGGGAAGGTATTCTCTCCGTGGCCAGGTCGCTCGACCATCTGTTGGAAGGTTGTCTTTGAAGAGATCGATTTTGCATTTCTCGCCAGTCACAACTTCATAGATAACTGTCCAAGGAAGCCGAGGTCTATTCGAGTCGTGTATCCGTCATCATCGACAGTATCCATATCGACATCTAAGGGAAGAAGAGATGCTTCGGAGAAATCGCAAAATTTGATTGTCATATCTGAATCGAGGAGAAAGTTCCGACTAGCAATGTCTGCTACAAGCACATGTTTATCGTGGATATACTCGAGTGTGCGAGCCATTTCAAGAAACCACGAGAGTTGGAGCTGTTGGGGTGGCCGGTTGGTTTCTAAATATGTGCGAAGATCTCCATTTGCCATGTAAGCAGGTTGGGTGGCTTCCTTTAAGAAACCAAGGCACTTGACAATACCACCACATTGGGGATTGGACAATTGGAAGCGACGATAGACATCTTGTTCACGTTGGATGACTTCAATGTTCATCTCGGCCTGTACATCTGAGCTCCAACAATATGTCAGGGGCGTCTTAACGGCCAGGCCGTCACGTAACACCACAACCGCTGAGGATCCAGATCCAAGGACTCGCTCAAGAGGGACAGTCTCTCCGGAGAGATCTAAAAAGGGAGAAAGCATTATTGTAGTTTCTGGTTTGGGATGGAAGGAACGATCTCGGGAGTTTGGATTGGATTTACTAGGGAAGGAAACAAGGGGTCGGCTCGGCCCAGGGCCAGCCCACCTGCTTATATTAGCCACGCGTCGCACCTGGGCACCTGGGCAAGCTTAATCCGAGCCCTTTTAGGTTTCGTGTGAAAAAGGTCTTTGACATGACAAGTTAAACAAACAGTAGCTTGTTCCAGGTCGCCTCTTCTGTCTTAATTTTCCTCGTCTTTTGAACACGTGATGATACGAAATACTGTCAATTCTCAGAAACTTTTTGAAGTCGTGCCATGGCCAATCAGCAGCGCCTCTGTCAATAACTTGTCGAGGTAAGAGAGCAAGTCCATTGCAAGACGATTACTGAATATTCAAGCAGGCACACATATTGTCCGTGAGGACTTTTTGCTTACACCAATGGCCATTTCCTTGTCAATGAAGAACATCAGCTGGGCCGACGATATGTCCGGTTCGATGTGGATGCGCTTTGCAATACCGTTGCCAGGGCCGGTGGGGATTCTAGTCAGGTCACAGCCATTGAGAAAATCGGGGGGGTTCAGCAAGGCTTTTCTGATGAAAAAAGCAAATGGAACGGAAGTGATAGCCAAAATTCCGTGCCGCATTGCTGGTCCCCCTTCATTGACAACAGCCGGTGAAGTTGGAGTCTTAGAGTACGGTATGACAGTTTCTATTCCGGGGGAAGAAAATCGAGTCGCTAAAATTATACAACCCAGTCAGGAGACACGGGCATTCCTGTCTCTCGTGTCCTTTCCTAGTCATCGGATAAATCATCGGATAATTCGAATGCTGTTGGCGCCGAATATATAATCATGGACAAAGCTTCCGGGGTTCCCCTATTTGAACGACGGGGCAGTATGAATGAATTCGAAACGCTGCAGCTGATCAAGAACTTAACCAAATTTGAGGCTCAGCTATCAGCTATTCAATTCCCTGCTTACGGGGGACTGCACATTCGGACAGATATGAGCAGAACAAACAGGTCCCTCAGTAGTGAAATTGATCCATCCCAATCTTTTTACGTCGGGCCTTCTTACGAAAGGGCATTTGATGCGGACGGGACTCTGGAATGCGACCAAGGACACTGTGCGTTACCCGCGCAACTTAACAGTTCACCTGCTTACAATTTTATAGGGTATTCAATTTTAAGCTTTGGAGTAGCCATTGCACAGCGTGAATTGTCTCGAATATCAAGAGGAGGCCAACAAAGCCGGTCAAGCTTTTACAAAGGGACTGTTGAAGAATAAACCCAGCTTTTGGAAGCCGCAGAGAGCCTCATGAAGCTCTTAGACTTGAACCGAATATTAGCGGAAGCTTGTCAGCCTACACTGTGGCACACCGACCTTCATATGGGCAACATCTTTGTCGCCCCAGGCGAATCTTCAAGAATAATGTCCTTCAAGAATAATGTCCTTCAAGAATAATGTCCTTCAATAATAATGTCCCTCGTCGATTTTCAGTCGACGTCTATACTTTCCGCATTCCTTCAGGCACAATGGCGGATATTTCTCAGGCCTCCGCAGACCTACGATTATATCAAGGGTATCTTCCAACCCCAACTCCCTGATGACTACGACAAGCTAGACGAGGAGAGTAGAGACATTGCTTTCCGCGAATGGTCTCAGGTAACTCGCAAAGGCTTACGAGGTCTCGACCTATATCGAAGATAGAGCAGCGCATTATGCCATGAACGTACCTCGCGTCTTCCAAACTATCCACTCGATGCGGAGAAGTCTCTAAAGTGGGCATTAACCCACTCCGTGCATGCTTGATAGAAATCTTACAGAATTGATCAAGCCTTGGATTTTCTGGCAAATGCCCTTATTCATTCAGCCAAGACGAAATCGATGCCCATGACCATCAGTTTGCTGAATACCAAGCCTGGAACGACTTTCAATCCCTTGCGGAAGAATTCCTTGATACTAACGCAGAAGGGTGGATTGCGCCGCAGTTGGATATAAATGAGAAGAGAAGGCAGAACGAGGAGCTACTGGCCCTGTACATAGACAAGGTTTCCGAGGAGAAATCTGCGGAGGAGGCGAAAGCGATGTGGCCTTTTAGAATTCAACGTTGCATCAGTAGGTAGAAGGCCGTGATCTATGAGGATGGCGTAGAGTCGCTTGAAGAGAGACAGAGCATCCCCAATTGGCGAGTTTTCTAGCTTGCTCCCGTCTATATCTACAAGCTGTGTCTCATAATGAGACATTTTTGCGATAAGAGGAGAGATCTACTTGTAGATTCGGCCTCTCTGTTCCATGCTCAAACCCATATCCATATCCAGTTCAGACTAAATATGGATCAATGGTGCATGGCGGAGACGGGAAGGCCCCTGCATTGCCTAAGAACCCAGCTAAGTCGTCATAAATTTTCCCTGCAGGCAGGTCTATGCTCCCATTTATATCGGCGGTACCGGGGTCTCGTTCGATTGGGGCTCAAGGTACAATATAGGCAAGCGCATCTATCTAGTTTCTCTGTGCTGAATTTAAGGCGGAGGCATCCTCCCTCCATATATCCCCGAAAAGTGTGACAGGCGAGAACGTCTCATGGGTGTTACGCTGCTGCGCGGTCCGTCTGATGCGGTGTCAGGGCTCAATTGACTCAATAATGTGAAGATGCTCATGCCCGGTATTGACGTTTTAGATGCGCTCCGCTCGTCCTGAGCTTTCAAGTTTGTAGTCGTTGACTAGGGACGCATGATTTAGGTTCTTGAATTTCAGGCAGCGTCGACATGCCAAAAACAAATTCGTTTCGGAGGAGGGCACACATGCTAGCATTTATATACGGCACCGATCGCATGAGGCCTGCAGCGGCGTGGCAGCGGATACACCGCCGGTGGGTCCATCTTATCAAAAGGTATTTCGTTGTTTATTCACTATCCACTGGTTTTGAAGGGCTTCATTGACTATATTCGGTGAATGAGAGTCGAAGCCAAGGCTCAGTCCACAGTTCCGGTACTTCGACCTCGGGCGCGTAAAGTGCGGATATATCCAGAGGCATCTCGAGAGGAAAGTCGGTGTTGAACACCACGGAGGACTGTCCACCTAGAATAGAATCATACTGAATTGCCTGGGTATCAATATGATAAGCGATATACCACTGGAAACCAGAGTATTTACGTACCATCGTTCCCACTTCCAAAGTCTCCGCTGTCGCCCCAGATGCGGCTTCTTGGGCTTTCTGGCTTGATAGTGAACGCAAAATCCTACAGGTCAAAAGTCAGAAACCTACAACGAAATGTTTGAATCCATTTACCCTGATGCTTCTGACGGTTCACTGGAGACAATCCTGTTCAATGCATTTCGCATTTCAGGGCTCGGATGAATATCGGAGCCGTTGTCATCATAGAGCAAAAGATTCGAGAGATCCTCGAACGACCGTAAAAAGGGCGCAGTAGCTGGTAGTACTCGGGTGTATACAGCCAACGCGCTCAAACAAGCACCTATTGCCTGATGAGTGCGCCGAGCTGTTAATACTGTTGGTGTTATCGCCAAACACTGTAGTAAGGTAACCCCACAATAAAAGCAATGGTACACTGTAATGCGATCTGGAGGTGTCTGGGGGTTTAAGCTCAATGATTTCGCGTTCTAGTACATTTTCAGAAGATTGCTTGATCAATGCTAAGATATAGATCACTTACCTGGCAGGCTTCAACTGCGAATTCAACACACAGGCCTATTAGATCAGAATCAATTTCGTTGGCCATTAATATGGGTCGTATTAAGAGGAGAACAGCTTGTGTGTATGTAGCTTGTACTCGATCGGGGGTTTGCTGAGGGAAAGGCCTCGAGTCTCGTTTTTGTGGCGCTTGCTGTTTCCATTGATCCAGCTCGTAAAGAAGATTTTGGACTTCGGTCAGCGAGGGGACTTGAGCATGCGGTCCCGTGAACCTTGTTCTAGGGAGTGTTAACGTTGTATGAATTAGGGATGGAAGATCTCTTACAATATTTTGGATCTGATTCGGTACACATTCAAATGGTGCAAAGCGGCAGTCATCTGTGCCTGGTGTTAGGACGTCGAAATCAAGCGAGTAGAGACGAAGTAAGTATACCGTAGTAATCGTCCCCTCTTCGTTATTTTGGGCTCCATTTCTCCGAAGGAGTTGGATTTGCCGAATTCTGCGCTGGTCGATACACGTGTCATCAATATCAATGGGTATCTAAAATATGGTTAAAAAGAGGGATAACCGATTTTTCAGGGCAAGGCACATACCTCTGCATCAATATCAGAATCACTGATTCCAAATGGGAGCTTGGACCAAATTGCGAGGGATCTATTTTGATCATCAGATTGCTTCATCGTGTAAGTGTCTGATTTGGCGTGGAATTGATACACACCGATCAAAGCAGTATGCGCACCAGAAGAATCGCTTTCGAAGTTCGACGGTGTATGGATCCAAACTTTGAGACTCAGGAAATGGCACAAGTTTACGATGGTATCTGAGTTTCACACAAAGACGCAAGACAAGCCCTACAAGGTGCCTAGTCATATCATTAGCAAATCACGATTTTGAAAAATAGCGTCCAACGAACCAAATTGGAGATTCTGTCTGGGCTCTGAAGTAATACTGCACAAGACAGAGGAGAGCTTGCACTGTTGCCATGTCTTGTAAAGACATTACAGCTGGGAGATAAGTCCGCGCGCGAGCAAAATATGCCTATCACACTCAGTCAAGGTCTTTTTATTTTCCTTCAGCCAACAACTACATACCTCTGTTGAATTTTCGGGGTCCGGTATCAACCGAGCTCCAATAGCGTATATTATCCAAATGAAAAAGGCCCCTACTGTGATATTAGCCATTGTGCTCAAATTCCATCATAGGGCTGGTATTTACCGGTTTGTGATTTTATGGACTCTTGAGAAGAAACATAGGCAAGTGCGTCTCTTCGTTGATGCCATACACTAATCTGATTCCAGTCAACGATGCAGTATCGAGCTTGCGTGTAAAAGTAAGCGGCATCAACAAGTTTCCTCGCACCGTTGCTAGAGGGCAACAGAGGGAGAGACTCGGATTCTGTCTCCGGGACGAATGTGCGTCCGTAGACCATCTCAAGAATGCTAACGTCGGGACCTGACACCTGTGTATCATTTCTGGTCCCAAATATAGCCCCAGGCACTTGTTCCTGTGGTTTCAAAGATTGATCTCGTGCCATTCCTGGAGACCCCTGATATGGCTATTAGCAGTGTTCCGAATTCAAACGACTTGTTGATGACAATACATTCTTCTGTGAGATACTCCCATTCGCAGAGCTTCCGTCATCTTGAAGTATTTCCGGTCGATCCTGCGACATTAAAGTGGAGGCGCCACTTTCATGAGTCCGAGACTCAGCCATAGTTGTCTCAGGGGTAAGACGAAGCCCAGTGGTTGATGTAGGTCGCTGAGACTGGCTTGCTTGTAGCTGCCTTTCGAGAATTTTGATTCGCGATTCAAGCGTTGCGACGTATCTATACAAACTTTAGCGAAAGAAAACGTAAGCTGTAGAGAAGCTTACGCATCGCGTCTCAAAACACCGTCCGGGGGAACATCAAAGTGACATTCTGCCATGTAGGTCAGCTGTGCTTCAAGAGGAGAAAGGGGTGTGTGTTTTTTACCTGCAGACGACTTGGAACAAGCGACGCATTTACTACTAACAGGCCAGTCAAACCCCCGCCAGCTTATTATAGTGGCGATCAACTTACCCGTTCATGTTCTCGATGTTGTAATGGCATTTTATCTTCCTTCGTTTGCAGTAGCGACCTAAATTTGGACACTTAGTCGAAGTACCCCCAGATCTTGGCGTACAGTGGATACTCACACGCATTAGTGCTTCTCCGGTGGATACTAGCATTGATCTGCCGAGATTGCTTCTGCTTTCGCGGGCTCGCCTTCCGGGCTGGGAGATGCGGGTCGAGGGCTTCGGATTCTTGCATTTTGTTGAGGGTATTTGAAGAGTCGATGATTATAAGGGCTAACTGTACTCGGACAGAAAGGAATTGAAAGCGCAGCTCAAGTGGGTGGGGAATCGAGGAATATGTGAATGTGGGAAGACCTAAACTAGTGTTCGCTGGAGATTTGGCCCGAGCGATCGCCCCGGAGAGATATGGGAGATATGAGAGAGGGGAAACGTCTCCACAATATCCCTTTGAGACGAAATACCGGAGGTTAGGATACCAGGGTTACCGTGACTCGAGACTGTCTATGCCATATTTCTGGTTTACCTGGTTGAATTTTGACCACTCGCCCTATGGAGTACTCGACATCAAGCTGATTTGGCTGTCGCGTGACGGCTGATCGTAGCCTACATACGTATGTACATACATGACACTCGCTATGTAAAATCACGAGCCTTATTGGCCGATAAGAATCACCAGCGTCAATCCAACTGGATCTTTGAAGTCGAAGAGCGGAATTGCCGCTTCCCCGCTTTTGTCGGCTTTCCACGGTAATTCCGCGGAATTAATATCTACAGCCAATCACAGCGTAGGAATGCATTTAACATCTGTGGGCGGACAAAGCTACCATATTGTTTTGATACTGCGTTTCAGGCGACAAGAAATGAATATACATTGCCCTGGAGGCCGTGTTACCCTATCTTGATTATTGAATAAGGAGAGGGGAGATACGAATATTGTTCTCAGGTGAAGGCTGACCGAAAATAATACGGAATAAATTATACTAATAGGGTACCTAATGAGACGACGAATGCGACTGCTCCTCAACAGACTTCTGAGCGGATTTAATCGTTTCGTCGTTACTGTCACCTCTATTGAAAGTTAGCCACTAGCCGTATCGGTAGAGGCAGGAAAGATCTTACGACTTATGGTTCACATCCTGGCCCTCAATAACAGAGGGTGTATCCCGGAATGTAGATTGCCTACCGAAGAGTCGCCACGGTCCGCTAAAAACGCGTTCAATCTCTTCGACACTGAGACCTGCGATCTCTGGCACGAGCAGATATACATATAGAAGGGCTGCTGCGCACCAAGCTGCAAAGAATATAAAGGCGCCCCAGTTATTCGTTCGCGAAAGAAGAGATGGTAAAGCGAAAGTCATGGAGTAGTGGAATAGCCAATGAAAGGTTTGTGTTATCGCAGCACCAAAGGATCGAATGCGATTGGGCCATAGCTCGCCGCCAAAGACGTATGGGAGGGTTAAAAGGCCTGCGTTTTGTACTTGAAGTTAGAATCGGGTGCACGGTTCACCTATTTTGTAAGCTCACCGATAGTATATCCAAAAGAGTGGATGAAAATCGATGCAAGCGCCGCCTCGCCCGCAGCTTCAGACGGAGAACCATGGTGTTGAACTTTAATATATGCGGCAAGATAGATGTCGGAGATCATTTGAAGGGTAATGCCGAAGAACAGCGTATTTCGACGACCTAAAGCATCGATGAAGAAAAACGATGCGGACAAGCCGAAGAAGAATTTCGTCATGGTGTACATTCCGTTGAGGAACAAATTTCGGGAGGAGTCGCCGGTCAATCCGATAATTTTCAAGATAGGAATAAAATAGTTGGTGATAGAGTTGCCACCTGAGAATTGTGGAAATGCGTATAGGATAAGGGCTTGTTGAACTCGGCGTAAATTTGACGGGACTGTGAATGTCTCCTTTGCGACGCTGACAATGTTGGAGGGAGATTTATCATTGGGGTCATGAGCTGCGGTCTCCAATTGTATAGACTCTTTAATGCTTCGGAGTTCTTCCTGAACCCGATCGTGATCGAGCGGCAATCGCCGTAATTGGACAAGAGTATTCGCAGCTTCTCCGTTTCGGTTGGAGAGAACTAGCCAGCGAGGCGATTCGCAGAGGAAGAAACTTGCGAGTATCCACAGTAACATAAACACACACGGAGAGAACATCACGACCTGGTACTGAAATCGACTCGCTGCAATGTGCAGCTGCACACCATACACGCAGAACGTAGCGAGCATTAGGGACAACGTCATGCACACGGTATACCATGCTGCCAACAGTCCACGTATCTCTGGTGGAGCCAATTCAACAATGGAGACAGAGCCCGTGACACTCAATGATCCAATTCCAAGTCCAGAAATTATTCGCGACGCGTACAGTGCCGATGGTCTAGGACTGAAAGTCGCGACTAGCTGTCCAATAATCCAAATTGTGGTGTATAACCGGAAAGACCAGAGGCGTCCAATTCGGTCGTTGATGAAGAATGATAGAGCAGCACCGGCTGCGTCACCGATGTAGACAAGAGAGACGAAGTTTCTGGTCGAGTGGGCGCCCGCTGTAGAGCTGATACCAAACTGCTGCTGGAAGCCCTCCAGGGATGGTAATGTGGATGCCGATCCTTGATCCCACGCTGTGTGTGATGGTCAGTAAGGCTGAAATATGAATCCGAGCGACGGACTCACTCAAAGGGATCGCTGCAGTCGCGTACATAGCACACGAGAAAAGCAGACTAGGACTGAGGATCACTTCGCGCGGTGCATTTTTTATTCTCCTACTATAGTCCGCCAGCATGGTTCTTCCGAGCATGTTCTTGAAGCTCATGTTGGATGCTCAATGCGCGAACATGGGGTGATTGCGTGTGCAAGAGAAATGGAGAATTGGAAAGAAGAAATCAAAATATATTGAGATTTACCGTGGCCGGAAATTTGAATTGTCATACAAGCCCTGCCTTTATATACCTCTACTGCAATCCAGAGGTCGATACTTGCGAAAATGCGGGGAATCCAACCTATCAACCAACATGGCGGTAAATCCGCACATGTATGAAGTCAGATAAAAAGAGAAAGATAAAGTGCATTTCGGTTCAATTGCTTGAGCCAGCTTAGCTAGGTATTATTTATTTCCCAGACAAAGTAGTCAGCGGGGGATGAATCCATACCGTCTATCAAGGGATCTCCACGCTTTGCTCCGAACGGAAATGCCGCATAATGGCTACATTCCGCACTAAAACACACTGTCTTACAATTTATTGGATTATATCAAGTATCTCATCTTGGAAAACATCTAATCAAAACATCTGGTTGTGACGGAAATGCCGCTCGTGCATCTGTAGGTAGCTACTTCGTCGGCAATTCCGTTGCATATCGTCAAGTTTAAAGAGCAACTCGAAGACCACTAATGCCACCTCATTTCCGTATTCTACAATTATTTGAGTGAATCTCAAACTTCAGAGTTAAACCTCTTAGAATCCGCCAAAAATGACTACGCCCGAATCTCGTGTCATCATCGTGGGCGGTGGTGTTTTCGGATTAAGCACCGCTCTGTGGCTCGCCCGTGGTGGCTACAAAAATGTCACTATTTTCGACCGCTGCAACTTCGACACGAACTACTACAATCCCGCCGATGGCTGTGACGGTGCATCCGCTGATATCAACAAGATCTTCCGAGCAACTTACGGTTCACAAAAGCAGTCAGTACGCTGAATTTAATCTAAACTGGCTTGTATATTAACCGAACTTTAGTTCACAAGATCTTGCCTTGGAAGCCAGAGATATTTGGCTGGAATGGAACCGGGCTATCAAAGAAAGCCATCCATCAGACCTTCCGCGACCGTTGACTCCAGAAGATGAACTGCTCACACTATGCGGTGTGTATCATCTCGCCGATGGACCAAACATGATCCCGCGCTATGTGGAGAATCTGCGCGTGATAGAGGACACGGCACCTAGCTTCCGCGATCTGCAGTTCATCAAGGTGCGGCAACATCTCCCAGTTCGATGGCATTGTTAACGATAGAGGTAGGACAACGCTGATGATGAAAGGCGAGCTGGTGCACACGGTCCCAAGTGGGCCAAAAAGTTCCATCTGTTCGACAAGTTCAAAGATGGTGCTACTAATGGATTTCTCGATGCGGGCTCCGGAATCACCTTGGCCGACAAAGTAAGACACAATTTTTACCCCTTCCCTTGCAAAATCATTGATTCATTTCTTGTAGGCATGCGTGTATGCGCGGTATTTATGTCAAAAGGCCGGTGTCAAGTTTGTCCTGGGACGCCCTCGGGGTGAACTCGAACACTTGATCACTGAGCAAGATGGTTCAGACAGGAGCGTCAAGGGAATTAAAACTCGCGATGGATTGACACACCCTGCCGATCTTGTAATTGTTGCATGTGAGTGACCAACAGCCCATGGTAATCTAATGACTATGCTAACATGTCAATTTAGGCGGTCCTTGGACAGCAGCTGTTCTTCCTGAGGCATATCGCTCGGTTGAGGCCACAATGGGAATTGTTATGTTTATCGATGTGCCAGAAGATCGCAAAGACCTACGAGAGAAGTTCCATCCGGACAATATCCCCGTCTGGAGGTTTATTCAAGGCGAAGGAGAAGGGTAAGACCTCATTTCTCGCCCAGGTTACTCTCAAATTAACCAGTATGATAGGGGTTATGAAGGCGGCGGCTTCCCTATCACTCGAGAAGGTAGATTGAAATTTGGATTCCGCGCGCGAAAGGTAACCTGCGGCTCTCGTTGCTTTTGTGTTTTCAAGTTGCGCTAACTTCGTCTGTCTCGAGTTCACAAATTTTCAAAACCATCCCACAAAAGACAATATGTACGATTGGCCCGATGCCATATTCTCTCGAGGGTTATGTGCTTATCCCCGTTTTGGTTATAGTCGCATCTCAACTCCCCGAACGAAATACAGCCCAGAGCCAATCAACACCGTGCCCCTGTATGGTTTAGAACTCATGAAGCAAGTCATCGGTGGCCTGTTTCCAGAGTTGGCTGAGGTTGGCTTCACCGACAGCCGGGTTTGTTAATCTCCAGATTTCGAAAAGCTCGCTGCTAACATATACTGAAGTTGTGTTGGTACACGGACAGCATTGATAACGAGGTAAGTGTCGTGAGACAATGAAGATGCATCGCGTCGATAATGCTGACTTCAGATAGTTCGTGATTGATTATGTCCCCGGATATTCTGACTCTCTGTTCATCTGCACCGGTGGCTCGTGAGTACTTGAGTACTTGAGTTTTGATGTAAGTATATCCTCTAACCTAGTGTTATAGGGGCCATGGATTCAAATTCCTTCCGGTTCTTGGTAAGGTAAGTTTTGCTGTCTTCATACGGAGAAAAGAGAATACTCTGACCCCGTTTTGCAGTATGTCAAGAATCAGCTCGAACGAGTTCCCGATCGCTTTACGCCTATTTGGAAATGGCGAGCTGTTGAGGAAGGCAAACAATGCAACGGTCTCGAGGAGGGCGAAGCTGGTCCTCGTGAGATGTCAAATCTAAAGTTAGCAAAGCGTAAGCGGCCCCCAGGTCTCTGATTCCGAATTATATTAATTACAAACTACAGCCCAAGACTTCCAATTTCCGGTCAAAGGTTCCTCTGTGTTGTCGGATCGCCTTCAACAGCTAAACGTGGCACCGAAGGAAAAGTCACAGCTGTAAAAACGACCACAATATTTCAAGCTCAATCAAAAAGCGCATCGCGTCTGAAAATTCGGGAACAGCTGATATTAGCTTCATCGTTGCCCATTGATCTTGAAGGATAATGGACCAAATCTCAGAGTACGGAGGAAGAGGACACGAGGAATGTGAAAGACTCGTAGAAGGACGATAGAAAAAAGTAGAATTTCTCATATGTACTGCCTTGCTATCTGATCACAAATAACAGACTCTATTTACATGCTCTAAGCGGAAACAGGAGTAATCTTAGCGACCTCCGTCAAATCCCGACTACTGAATCCAACACGAAGGACAAATTCGCCCTCGGGGATGAGCCACTTCTGAGAAACAATATCCCAATAGCTCAAATCTCTGCGCATCAACTCGAATCCAACAGTACGCGACTGACCCGGAGCCAAAGAGACCTTCTCGAAACCTCGCAGCTGTTTGGGCGGTGTTCCCTCAGGGGTGCTGTCTGGGAAGGTAACATACAACTGGGGAACGGTAGCGCCCTCGACATCACCAGAGTTGGTAACTGAGACAGTCACATCGTAGATAGTCTCCCACAGAGCAGGGTTTCCGCCGGGCTGAATTGGCCGCTCTTCGGGGATGGAGGGAATGGAGTCAGTCACGGGTTCGGCGTTGAGGTCGGAGAGGTTGAAGGTCGTGTACGAGAGACCGAAGCCAAATTCGTACTGCACGGAGATGTTCTTAGCATCGAAGTAGCGGTAGTCGATCTCGAGCTTCTCGTCGAACCAGGATTGCCAGTCGTACGTGCCATTGGTGGACACTTCGGTGGTCGGTGGGGCGTTATAGTCGCTTGCGTTCTTCGCGATTGTGTAGGGGAGGTGCCCAGAGGGGTTGACGTCACCGTAGAGGACGTCGACTATGGAGTTGCCGGCTTCCTGGCCGGGGTAGTGGGCGGCGAGGATGGCAGTGACGTTGGGGTGGCTGGCCCAAGGGAGGACGTTGATGCCGGAGGAGTGGGTGACGACGATTGTGTTGTTGCAAGACTTGGCGACGGACTCAACAACCTCGTTGCCATTGTAGTCCACTGTTAGGTGTTCGCGGTCACCGCCTTCTTCGGCCCAAGTCTTCAGGAAGACTAGACAGACATCGGGGGTAGTGGGAACCCAAAGATCGGTGACATTCTTGGTCGCGATCTGGGTGTTGTTCAAGAAGTATTGAACAAGAGCGTCGTCCTTCTTAGCGCGGGTCTTGATGGCCTCGAGTGGGGAGACGAGATAGGTAAAGCGGCCGGTGCCCGAGCCACCGCCAGCAGCGAGGTTACCGAATTCGAACGTCGCCTCATTCACAGCCCCCATTGTGTCCTCACCGGCATCATTGCCGAAGACAGCGATATTTCTAGGAGCCTTCAATGGAAGGACCTGCTTTTCGTTCTTCAGCAAGACGGTAGCTTCAGCTGCAAGCTTGCGGATCAGCTTAGCGTGATCTCCGCGGACATCACGGCTTCGCTCGCCGGTCAGATTGAACTCGCGGGTCCAGGTTGAACGGGGAGAGAAGGTGTTCAGGTCGGCGGATGAGGGGTCCACCTCTGGGTAGTCCTTCTCCTGGCCGAGCCAGTAGTAGGGTGTCATAATGCGGATGATCATATCATCGACACGAGATTCATCGACGGTTCCGTTGTTGACGGCATATGTCACATTCTTGCCGTAGAAAGAGCCGGCTTCGGGGACTGTACCGTAGGGACCGAGACCACCAGGCATGTTCATGTCGAGGCCACCCTCGATCGAGGCGACACCAGAGTGAGTGCCACCCCAGTCGGACATAACGTATCCTTGGAAACCAAGCTCTTCTTTAAGCAGGCCGTTGAGTGCCTTGGAGTTCTCGCAAGCATATGAACCATTCAGGCGTTGGTATGCGCACATAAAGCTAGCAGCATGGGCGCGGACGGCATTGGCGAAGGGCCAAAGGTATAGCTCATGCATGGTTCGGTCATCGATGTTGGAGGAAAGTGCTTCCTGAATCACATCCGTGACGGTTCCATCAGAGTCGTAGGTAGGGTTACGCTGAATCTCCTGCTCGTTACCGATGAAGTGCTTCGGTGTGGCCTGTACGCCAGCATCCTGGTGGCCGCGGATGGTCTTTTCCATGGCGACACCGGTCAAGTAAGGATCAGCAGCAAAGCCTTCCCAGTTTCGGCCTGCGTAGGCAGAACGACCGAGTGGGCCGGCCACGGGGCTGAGGGCGATGTGAGCACCCTTGGCCTTGAATTCTTGTCCCATGGCGTAGCCTCGTTCATAGAGGAGATCTCTGTCCCATGTGGATGCCACGGTGACACCAGCAGCGAAAACGCTGGCATAGTCGGCTACCCGAATTGCCAGAGGGCCGTCCTGCAAGCACAGACCTGGGAACCCAAGTCGTGGAATAGCAACAATGTTTCCCACACAGGGACCCGGCTGGCCAGTAACCATGTCGGCTTTCTCATCGATAGTTAGCTTGGCGACAAATTCTTGGGCTTTGGCGTAGGCTTCCTTCCACTCGCCTAAACCGGTAGCGTTTGCTGTAGTATAGGTCAGCAAGAGCCCAGTTATAGGGAACGATCGATGAGGAACATACGCGAGGGAAGGACGGCAGGGGAGTGTCCGTAAGGGCCCAGAATGGTTGTGTTCTTCGGCTGGACATAGCTGAAAGCATCTTCACTTCGACTAGTTCCACCAAATGATTGGCCATTAGCCAGTGTGGCAGCCAAAAGGCCTGAAACCACAAACTGAGCGACGAGAGCCATTTTTCGTAACTTCGTTAGGAGCTCGGACAGTCTCGGAAGGAGCAGACTCTGGAGGTGCCATCTTGGGATGTTCACTCCTTTTATAACCTTTGGTTTGCAACCTGCGACCCATCTCCGGAGACAAATGACTTGGTGGGGTATGGGCAAAGACAGGTTTACCGCAAAATGCAACGTTCCAAGGTAAGTACAAGCCGGAGTTCTGCCGAGGCCAAGTCTTGGCATTCGCGGGGACCCCACACTTCCTCTTTCTGGGGAAATTTTCTTCATCCCTGCAGGCGTGCAGAGTCAGTGCAGAGTCAGTGCGCAGCACAACGTATGACGCACTTGGGCTCTCTAGCATGGTCTCCTCTCCATCTATCAATCCATTAGCTCCCACCCATCGCCACTTACTTCCGAGTTTGCTCTCCAGGTAGTCAAGGATGGCAGGTTTAAGCACCACGCGATATTTCCGTGATCGCCGCCTTGGCAACTAGACTTAGCTAGCGGGTATCCCCCTCGGCGACTTCATCGGAGACGGAAAGCCGGCATTCGTCTCCAGCAATATATGTGTTCCAATCGCCGGTAATACTTCGGATGTTCGATAAAGTTTGTTGGTCCGTTTAGTGCCTCCCAACGACGTCACTGTAGAGTGCCTTCAAATCGAAGGTTAACACTAATGCAAGGTGCTTACACCTTTCCATGGTTAACTCCGCGGCTTTGAGCTGCATCTACCTAGGTACACTCTGGAACTGGCCCTTGGCATGCCCATAAAGCCACAGATGGTGTTCTGAGGAGTTAGAATTTAGTCTTGCCGCCGGTATACTGACACGAGTTGGTGGCTTGGACTCGGTGGCTACAACCTATCCCGCGTTTTCGGCATTTGATTGTGTCCACCGGCTCGTGAGTTTCTCGGAGCCGTGCTTTGTCCTCAGATAGCAGAGCTCCTTCTGGAGAGGGGTAAGTTGGTTTATAATCATTATGAAAGCAAATCGAAGTTTCCAGGGTTGCTTGCCGCGCCTAAAAGTATGTTCATGTCATGCAATCTAATTCCACAACTTTTAGGTCGCGGGCCTATGATAGTTTATGTGCTCAAACAACCGGTATATATCGTGGCGACTCTAGCTTTGTCATCTTTATAGTCCATCGTCTACCTAGCTACACAACGTCACCCGGTATTCATATTGAGACAATCCCAAGTCCGGACGCGGTGTGACGACTTGCGGCTTGAACCACTTACACTGGGTGAGAACGACCGTTAGGACTTCCAAGGTTGGCAGGAAGGTATATTTACATCAGCTTTAGAAGAACGCCGGAGCATGCATATTTGATTTGCCTGCTGCTCTAGTTTTGTTATGTACTGTTGAAATTCCAGAGGTATTTATTACAAAATCCATTCTCCTCTATTGGCATTACAATAAGACGGATTCCTCTGAACTTTTGACGTTGAATGGTATCGGAGAGGCTTAAATCAACATCCGAAAAGTATCCATGGAAGGTGTATGAGAAGATTAAAGAATTGATCCGATTACCACAAGTATTCTACACGACTTTGGAACTAGATATAACTATATCGTACCTTCCTCATACACACTATTTTCTATGCTTTCGAGGCTTTGTTAGACATATGTATCTATCCCTAACATTCTATGGAAATCTCTAGGTGGTGTCAAGGAATTACTAATCCATGAATTGACGGATGCATAGTTTACCATTGGCAAACGCAAGAATATCGAGAATAGACGGGGAAGTGAGGCAATGTCCAGCCAACCTGACTCCAGATCTCCTGCTCTTAACGGCGTCCATTTACTGCTCGGTCTGGATTTCACTCAATCCTGGATAGAGATACTCCAACTCTTGGTCCATGTCCTCTAGCTGGTTTTGATGATGTAGGTAGTGATACGGACCGGCGGCTATCGCAGCTTCCTTCTCCGTCTGAATGCGTGTTATCCGCTGATCAATGATCTCAATCGAATATGTAATAAGGACTATTTGTATCCATCCCTTTTGCGTCAAACTTCGCTTGAACTCTGTCAAATTACTTTCAATAACCGTGGCGGCGAAGGTACGAAAGGGCACAAAAATCAAGCAAATTGTGGCGAGGCGATGAGTGCTCAAATGTACTACACTACAGACGACAATGAAACCACTCCCTCGAAAACGCAGAATGCAAGAGTTTGCACAGTCCTTTTAGACAGAGATGATAAGACACCGATCCTTGTTGAGACAATGTGAGTGATAGTGAATACCCTCGAATTTGCAGGTTTGATAGGACTAAAATTTTCGCAAGAAAACATGGGGATGCAACTGCTTATCGATAAGGAGGGTATGGAAAAGCTGGACATAAATATTGTCCCAGAGTCCTATGATTTGAACAAGATCATGGGCAAGCCGGTTATCAGCCAGATCCCGTTATGGGCTTCGGCTAACACGGGCCTGGTCAGCGAGTAGGTGGTTTGAGATATGTTGAGCCATTTAGCTACGTGGAAGTGACTGATATATGAGAATACATCCATGTTGATTATATTTCATCTGTGAAGATTACGTCAAATAGAACTCCAGCTTGAGCACCTAGCTCTGTGAGCTGGTGTCTTATGATAGGGTCCTATTCCTTATCGGGAGTCTCGTTTCTAGCTAGTCCTAGAGAAATGCCACGAAGATTCGGCGTGAACGCTATTCGATCCTCTAGCCATGATTTTAGTAAGCCTAAAACGGCGTGATCCTCCCACTCAAATTTAGGCTAGTCTGGTTCTATTTGCTCATCATTTTATAGATATAAGTCGTACGTTATAGTGAGATGTCCAAGATATCTTAGGACCACATTCTATAAACGTTTCGTTATATCTTATATAAATCCGACGAGGAATGCCAATAGGACTTAAAGAGTCTTAAGATTTTCTATATTAACTATCGCACTTAGTGAGCCCTCCGTTTTAATGCTAGGGAGATTTATATCATTACCTCCGAGTTGAACTTTAGCTAGGATTTTAAGGTCGGTTAAAGTACCTCTAAGATAAGATATCGTATCACCGATACGATCCAGATCTATAATAGGCATATTAACTACATCGTCGATACCAAAATCGTAAAACCATCTCTAGCGAAGTGATTTTAGATAAGGTGTGACTAAGAGTAGATCACCGAGATAATTCTCCCGGACAGAGTTCAAAACCAGCGATATTAGGGTCGACGGGATAGGTAATTATAGTATAGGCCACGTTATCGCGAGCGGGCTTTCGAGCGAGACTAAAATGCGTTAGACATTTGGTAGATAAAAGAAGGGTAAGACATCTATAGTGTTTTTGACCTTCTTATCACGCGCTCGGTTATAGACAATCTTAAGGCGGTATATCACATCCCGGAGATACTAAAAGTCGGGTAGCCCGTAATCTATAGGCTTAAAGATAGCTGAATAGAGAACCATACCGATGATTTCACTTCGCTAGGTGAAAGTAGGGCTTAGGTACAGATATCTCAGATTCGGAAGCTATACTAGAAGGAGGGCGACAAAAGCATTAATTATACCTTACTAATTAGACCTTGACATTTCCCATGGGCACCCTATAATCTTCGGCCCACCGTACATGCCCATAGATCCCATGGGACTCCCATGGGACTAAAAAAAAATTCCCACGCTAGTATAAATAACCTAAAACGGATGGATAAAATGCTGAGTTATCATAATAACTTACCGTTATTTACACTTGTTTTGTTAGTCCTCTTCTTCAACCATATTGTGCCTACAACATCAGTTGAAATTTTATAAAATAAACCTGTATTTATTAATTTAATATTGTTATAACCTACATAAGTAAAATTTAAAATCTAGTGATCTTCTTTAGTGGTGTAAAGAGGAAGTTGTGGTAGATAGTGTGTATCATAAGAGAGATATATACTTCTATCCTATATATTCATATGTGACTTCGTTATAAATGAGATACCTAAAACATTAGCATAAAACCATACAATTATATAAGTCACGAGTTTCTCCCTATTTGTATTGTTTATAGTCCTATAGGAAATGTCAAGGTCTAACTACGTCAATGCCTGATTTTGGCATATATAGGGTTTGTTGAATACACCGATAGTATTAATGACCTTAAGTCAATATCAAATTTCTAGACCCTATATTCGAGGTCCGCTGGCTCCTATCCCTAACGAACGATCCCTAATTTCCTAAGATCCGGGATACTGACGTTGGGCCGAGTATACTCCGCTTCAAAAAGGTCATGGTTCGTCCCCCATCCGTCTCTAGGGCCGCATGTATCTCCTCCGTCCACAGGATTTTCACCAGAGCCGTAGAGAAAGCTTGCCACTTCGTCTGTAAGCTTAATGAACCTCCCCGGTCACCTGCGATGGCCTTCCATAGCGATTGTGACAGTCGGTTTTAGTTGATCTCTCTCGGCCCAATTCAGTTCCTCCCGCATCCTCTCCAAGAGCCCAATCAAACAGGATTCATCGAAAGGGAACTCGATAAATTCCAATTCAATGGACCGTAATGAGGATGGTAGCAATTTAAGTATGTCCATTAACTCCGACGTATCCACGCTAAAACGAGAAAGCGCTAAATTGCATAGATTTGGCCATTCCTTAATAGGGAGAACCTCCTTTAGGGGAATAGGTGGATCCCCTAGTGAAGATAGAGATCCAAGATTGAATGTAGTCGATAAATAGATATCGGTTAATTCTCTAGCCAGGCTAACAGCCTGATGAAAGTATCCGCTTTGGAATCCCGCCCAGTAACCACTACTACTAGTAAGCAAAGATAGATGAAGGCGCCGAAAGCCTGGACGTTTTATGATAGCCGCAAAATGATTATATTCTTCACACGGCTGGTCAAAGATCCGAAAGTTTATTCCGGTGTGGAGTTGCTTTGAATCGAAGCTTAGCTCAGAAAAATTATGCTTCTTAACCTGTGACAAAACACGAAGAGCGATTCGAGCCCCTCTCCATAGCTCCTTATATTCCTCGGTTACCTCTGACCACAGTAACGGCTCGATAACTTGACCCTCGGTTTGATCAAAGTGCCATCCTCGCGGAATTAGGTAGTTAAACCCGTATGGAAATGCTCGGATCATAGGTGTCTCGTATAGCGGAGTAAAAAGCCAGCCGTGAGCCGCAGGCGTAACGGTCACTCTTTTTAGACGTGGGAATCGCTCTAAGCCGTAAAGAAAGGCTTTTTCGTCGTCTTGAGATTCGATCACAGTTGTCTGATCATTCAAGATTTGCAAGTAATACTCCCAACAGGCTTTTAAAGGAATTTGTGCATCTATCTAGTTCTTCCGAGCAAGATGGTCGGGTCGGTCCACGTCACGGTGTTTCCGATGCCTCATCCTATAGCGGTTTTCTTCACATTCCTCCACGAACCAGTTAGGACATCCCTCATCGGGGTTGGTTTACACGCTTTGGGGGTCGATTGTTGGATGCACATTCTCCCATATCAATGGCGCGGAGACAAAACGTGCGTCGTCCCAGATGATCTCCGTGATCTCTTGGCGAAATTTTGGATGGTCCGCTACAGCACGAAAAACTTGGATGTTCAATGAATTGGCCGACAGAAACACGCGTGATGAGGAGAATGGCGTTATCTCGCCGAGGGCTTTGCATGTCAAGCGCAAGGACTTGACATCTTTGTTCGGCAAGAAGGACACAATCAATGAAATCATTTCAGGGGGAAACCGAAAAAACCACGGCCTTTGTGTTGCCATCCCGGATGGGGCCGGTGAAGCCATTGAAAGTTGGTATGTCACCTGCAGTGAGTTGGAAGATGCGAAGACGCGAAGATGCGAAGATGTGGGTGAACCATGCATTAAATAAAATCGAGGGCAGAGCGGTCCACTCCCTGGAAGAGTTTCAATACGAGTACGAGTATGGTTTCTGGGGACTAATTGGGACTAGTCATAGTGCAGGAAACTTACAATACATGTATTAATATGACAGAGGCCTTAGTAAGTCAAGTATCGGACCTCGGGAGCCGATCGCTTCCCGATGTAATATTACCGTCAACATTATTACTTTTAAATCACTATCATTTTCATCAATGTCTCTCTCTAGGTTTTTTATCATAGTAGTTAAAGAATGAATAATCTCAGAGTAACGGAATATTTACAGGGCTAGGTGATGAAGAACCATTACGTCTATCGTGTAAGGACAACCAGCTTAATACTTATAAGGCCAATTTGATCAATGAAGCCTCATTGAGAGGTAAATCAAGACAATCTATTGATTTGTCTTATACCTAGGTATTTAAAAGATACGAAGCTTTATAGAGGCCCGGCGCTAAACCCATACTTTTAGGAAATTTTACTATCTAATTTGATTTAGCATAGTAAAACTAAATTGATTCATTAGTACCATCAATGTATTCAACAAATCCTATCAACCTTGGAATATGTATCAAGACGTGCCCAATCAAACATTTGCAGCTCAGTTTACCGTCCCCATTATGCTGAAGATACACCAACACAAACATATTCATTCGCTTGTAAGCCGGAGCAGTCAGTCTTCACCGCCGGGTTCCAGGCGTAGAAAGAAGCCAATGTGATCTCATGGGCGCTGGCAATGTCATAACATCCGTCATTGGCAATAACCTTGTAGAACTGATCACAGGTTGAAACCATGCCCGTCTGAATTGGAGATGGCGTCGAAACACCATTTCCAATAGGAGTTGAGGTCGTCAATGGAATGCTGCTGACGGGGCTACTAGAGCTTGGTACCCAGCCTGGGAAGCCCGGCGGGTAGCCACCTGCATAGGTTGAAATACAGTAGTGTGTGCCAATAGACAATCCGCTACAGTCGCTTTTAATTGACGGATTCATTGCGTAGAACTCGTCAAATGAAATGTGCCGTCCGGTAAGAACACTACTGCACGTGTGATACTTGCTTTTTGGAGCGAACCAGTCGGTACAGTTAGCAATTTCACCACTGGCGCGAGGAATGGGCGTTTGGACGGCCGTACTACTGTCTGTCATAGGAGTGACTGGGGTTAGTGCGAATAGTTATGTTTTCTGCTTAACAGACTCACTGCTAGAGGTGGGAGTCGCGAGCTGGACACAGTATAAGCTACTCGGCGCCAAGGTACATGGATATCGAACGAATTGGGCCTGGTTAGAAGCGGTTACTGAGGTAGATACCGCAGAGGAGCTTGAAGTTTCATTCGATGCTAAAGAAGGGTTCTAGAGGATAATTTCCTATATCTCGTTGTTAGTCGCAATCGAGGAAAGTTCAACAAGTAAACCAACTTCATCAGAAACACTCTATAGCCAGGCTTGGTTCTAACAATCAGCGGCCGTATTTTCCGTAAAGTTAACACCTGAAAACCATATATATCTTGAAATAAGGTTAGAACTTATCCATTAATTCATTGATATCCTGTAACTTACTGATTGCAGTCTGTGCGGGTTCCATTTGCAAGCGGAATGACTGGACTGGAGCCGGTTGGCCAGGCATGGGGAGCTTGGCCGGGTAGCGAGGTTGAAGGAGTTTCGTCAAACGGCGCCGTGGAAGTAGATGACGCTCCGTATCCTGAATACGTCGCAATATACCCCACAGGTTGCACGCAGTAGTAGGTGTCGGCCAGAAGATTTGTGCAGTTCTGGAAGAGTTCGGGATTCAGGAAAAGGCTATGACTGTTAGCTTTTGTCTTCCTTTAACCAACAGGTCACTCACAGATTGCTTGGAGAAATGCTGAATTTGTCCGTCATTGTTGTGCAAGTCTCATCCTTAGCAACCTTGTAATATTCGCCACAGCGAGAGGTAGTCCCGTCTCCAGTAGGAGAAGGAATGGCACTGATACTTTTAGTATGAGCACGATAGGGATGATGCATAGTGAAAATTTACGCTGTAGTAGTCACAATAGTTGTCATGCCTCCGAGACCAAAGTTTCCTACTGGGTTGCTCACCGCAAATAGCGGTGTTTACCAGACTTCCGAGGTTGCTGTGTATTGTTCATTAGCGGAGCGTTGCCATAATTTGAGTATCATCACGTACGAGCAGACAGAATTGATTTGAGAGTTCCAAGCGAGAAGCTGGGCCCAAGTCACATCTTGCGATTTTCCAATTCCAGTGCAAGTATCACCGGTCTCAACAGTATATGTCGTACAGTTTAAGCTTGCTCCAGGGAATATATCAAAAAGAGAGGCCTCCGCAGCAGCGAAAAAGGAGAGTGTAAAAATAAGACTCTTCATGATTGCCGGATTGATCTGGCGAATGAAAAGTTTAGAAAAGAATAACAGGCAGCCTGTGAAGTGAGCAACTTGCAAGGTTGAAGAGATAACTTGAATTGCGGGATGGTCAACTATAGTGGCAAATAGAAATCGATAGCTGCACTCATGGTGCCAGTCTCAGTACGGAGTAGTCCTATCATACCCAGCTCTATCGTTACGATTTGCATTCTATACTCCTATGGGGCTCATTTCCTTGTACTGACTAGTATATCTCGTATCCTGCTGCTTCCGAATACGTCCGTTTATCCACTTTCGAAGTGATGCAACGGCTTTCGGTCAGAGCGAATCTAGTGGCCCAGTGTCCCTTTTTTGAGGGAACGATAGAGTTTGACTACTGTCGAGCTACAACATAGTGGATATGTCTCACAATGGAACGGGCTAATGTAGGTCAACTCCGAGTTGAATAGCGGTTCAAGGAGGCGAAAGTCTAGATGTTCGCATCTTGTACTGCGCTGGTGGCTAAGATCGGCGACATTACTCCCAAGAAGCTCAAATCGTACGCACCGACGCCTCGTTAGGGGTATAGCCTTTTCCACATTTCAATAAAGCATTGCCACTGGATTTCACCGAGGCCTAGGTCCAAATTGTTGGTAATTCTATATGGCGAATGCCGGCACAGATTACAACGTCTATATAATGATATTTACTAACGGTTTAATTTTCACATATAGTAGCATCCTCCAGCTAGCTGAATTCGAAGTCCGTCTATTTTTATCTATTTTATTAAATTTGTGGTGGCGGTTAGAAGTTCTTTAACTGAACGGGAGCTTTGGTTCAAAATTCCGAATCGGGTTAGCGTTTAGTCGAAAATTCCTAAAAGGGAAATCTTAGTCGGAAATGTAGGAGAAGATATGTGTATTTCGGCCCACGTCTAACTCCTATATTTCCGACCACGTCTAACTCCTACATTTCGGCCTACGCCAACTCCTATATGCTTTTAAGCTCACGCGCACGGCGTTGAGCACGCTCTGTGAGCCCTGATAGCTCCTCGAGCTGCCCGTCGTTGGGCGACGGGATGGGCCGAGTGTCGGCCACTTTATACTAGTTAGCTATGTTTCAAGCGCGGTGATCGGAGTGTGTCTCACTAGCTAGGGATTGTCGGTAGGCTGTGTCTGTGACTCGGAGAGGGTATGATAATGCTTAACCTGCATTATAGCGATATTGGTAGTTAGCTCATTGCTTCGTATAAGATCTTGTTGGGTTAAGGGGTCGTACCTTACTGGTTGTGCTTCTCGGTTGCAGGGGTATGTAATCTGATTGTTGAAGAAGTTGAAAGCAAAAGTTCCAGGTAGCGTGTTAAATAGCAATCAGATACCATATAATCATGGAGTGCTGATTTTCATCAGAAAATGAATAGGACAATGCTGGTGCAGCCTACATAATAAATGCCTCTGCCTCCCTAAGCCATCAATAAGCCTGTCAACACTTCTATGTATTCAAATATAGTGACAATATAAGACCATATCACTAAGCCACGATTTATATAGAAGTCATATTTCAGAGAGGGCTGATAGAGCAATGATCTCAACGAAAAGTAAGAGAAAGGTGAAAATTAGAAGTCCCTAGCTAGTTATAGCTGTTGAGGCTACTAGAAACTGAGCATCTGAGAAGTCTGTTTTAATTACTATTGCTTAAAACTACCTGCCTGGAGGCATAATTACCTAGTCGCCTCTCTATAAAACATGCGACGGCTGCCGCTAGAAGTGGGAGCGACATAGGCGCCGTAGTCGACCACTGGAGACTGCTGGCTCTTCTACTATGCCACCCCTGTGGCCTTCGACGATATTGATCATGCCTTCGCTGCGTAAGTTCTGCTCTTAATGCATCCAACCCTGGCAGTCTCCTCGGTATAAAACATGCGATACCTGTCGCCAGACGGCGAAAGTATCGTATCGTCATCGCTTCCTCCAAACAACGGAGACAGAAAGGCTCCCCTCTATAGACCCTATGGACAACATTACATAAGACTTCTCTGGACCCGCTTCATCTGCCTTGAATAGGAAACGTCGCATTTTGCCGGTTCTGCGACCTCAGTCTAAAAGACAAAGAACCCTGGACTCACCAACGCCTTCTGAGCCTTTACATAGAGCAATCGGCCTGCTGCATGATAAGCATAGGCGTCATTTAGCTGCTTCGCAAGCCTTCCCCCCGGGTAACGTCTTCTGATGTAGTAATGCCTTGATCTCTTTTCGGATTTCTTCGGCTGCATCGTCCAACGGTCGAGGTTCCATCGAGTGCGAAAGAATGGTTCTAAAAACGAGCTCCTGGGGGTAATATCAGTTTAAATCCAATATGGCCGGGAATTTGAAACACCTTGCGAGAGCAGAGATAAGACTTGGTTATCTTCACGCTGCGATTAAGAGGGGTAAATAAATAGTTATCACCACGGCCAAGGATAGGCACTAAATCATATGACACCGTAAATCAAATTTCTCCTCAAGAGGCTTCGTCCATCGGGCAGGTCGTCAGACCAAAGAGAGACGTCGTACCCACTAATTTTCATTAGTAAAAGCTTTCAAACGTACGGTATGTTCAATTGTATACGGCGTCAATTTATGATGGATAGGGGATTCTAAATAATCACA